AGGGCCAAATGGGCAGCATGTTTGTATGGTTTTTGAATACTTGGGTGACAATCTTTTGACCCTAATTAAATATTCGGACTACAAGGGAATTCCTCTTCATATGGTTAAAGAAATTTGCTTCCATATTTTAGTGGGATTGGATTATTTGCACCGGCATCTATCAATCATACATACAGACTTGAAACCGGAGAACATTTTGCTTCTTTCGACGATTGATCCAGCTAAAGATCCGACAAAGTCAGGTGCAACTCTTGTTAAGCCATTCAGTAAAAGCAAGATCCTGTCCGAGTCTGGGACTTCTAAAGATGCAAAGAGCTCAAATGGCGACCTGACCAAGAATCAGAAAAAGAAAATCCGAAAAAAGGTTAAGCGAGCAGCCCAAAAGTGTGTGGGGAAGGAAGCTTCTGAGGATGCTGAGCCAGATAATGAGGCTAGTAGTCCCGAAGATTCTCATAATGATGATAAATTCAATTGTAAGTCCATTGAAGAACAGACCAATATGAATGGAGTGAAGGATGCACGTGAAGGAACTAAACTTAATAGGAGAGGCACCCATTCAACAAGGCAGAAGCTATTGGCTGAGGTTGACCTAAATTGCAAATTGGTTGATTTTGGAAATGCTTGTTGGACGTATAAACAATTCACTAGTGATATTCAGACAAGACAGTATAGATGTCCAGAGGTTATACTAGGATCCAAGTACTCAACATCAGCTGATATGTGGTCATTTGCTTGCATTTGCTTCGAGCTGGCCACCGGTGACGTACTTTTTGATCCTCACAGTGGTGACAACTATGAAAGAGATGAGGTATGTGATCTACTGTAGATTTGAATAAGCTAACAACTGTTCTCTGAGCTGCCTAGTAGGGAATAGTTAAACCGCTATTTTCTACTTGTATAAACAATAATTTTGCATTTGATATATATGTGTTCGAAGTGCGTGTAATGAATGCTGTTTGCTTTTTGCAAGGCATACTGCTCTTGACATTGTACTTGCTTCCATAACTACTTTTTTTGTTTAATTTTATCTTCTTTATCTGTGTAGATCTTTTATTTTCACATATAGTGCTTTTACCTTGCTATTAAACGCTCTTGATACTCTCTCTTTGAGATTTAGTTTTGCTCTTTTGCCTTTTTTTTTTTTTNTTTTTTTTTTTTTCACCAAAACTCTTGCACTACCAGTGTATAATGTTTTGTCTCTGGAAAGCGAATTGGGCAACTGGACAATGATGACCATTTCTTCACGAAGATTTGATCTTTCGAGTATATGATAATCTGGGCTAGGTTGGTTACGAGAGACTGCATTGCAAAGTTTCGTGTGTCCGAATTATTATGTGGTTAGGGGTGGGAAATAGGCGAGTCCTTGCCGTCTTGCCATGAAGGCGAGCAGAGCCTAGCCAGGATTTTCTGTCAGCTCACTTTGGCTGCCTTTTGCAGTCATACATGATGGTACCTGGCAGGTTCCATCATGTCGAAATCAGGCAGCCCGTGGGTTTGAGATGTCTCTCGTCAAATTTTGAAATTCAAATGTCCAATTTTTTTGTTTTTTATTTTTAACATTTTCATCTATAAATATGGAGGTTTCCAAATAAAATTTTATGGTCCCAAGCCCAGATAAAAGGTGGAGGATAACTTTAAATTTCTTTTAATTAATGCATTAACAAAATTAATTTATTCTAGTTTAAATTCATAGATTTTCATCTTCGTTGCCTACCTGGAAACTGTGGGAAAAAAAATTTGAATTAAAAAAAAGAAAAAAAGAAGAAGATGCTTGCCCCACCCATGGGCAAGTTGGTAGGGCAACAGAGACGACTTTTTTTTAAACAAGCTGGCTTGTGCTCGGTTCACCCCAAATGCTAGCACGATGCAGCTGCTCGGCCCATTAACAACCCTATGCATGGTGATATATATGGATGTGGTAGTTGCATATTGATGTTACCTTCTTTTGTTTGCTTCTTTTCCTCTCCCTTTGCAGTCCTATCCACGCATCTCTCAATTTGAAGTCAAATTTTATAGATTGATGTGCTAGTTTTGAGCTTTGATGGAGATGAAACATCCTTTACGGATTCTATCGTCTTGTATTTGTTATTTGATATTAACCTTGCATCTGCTTTATTTTCGTTCAGCTTGTTTTTTATTCAATTATCGCTTCTTATTCAGTTACCAAAAATATTCAGACTGTGCTTGTGTTTTTACTTTTCTTTTCCTTCCCAATGGCTATTTTCGTAAGGCCTCGTCTTTATCACCCTGTGCATCAAATTTGTATAGCATTAAACTAAAATGCTTAAAAGTTACATATATTGGTTTCTGGTAATGTTGTTTGGTATTTATTATTAGTGCTTTTCTTTGAAGGATCATTTGGCCCTGATGATGGAGCTTCTTGGGATGATGCCACGGAAGGTGAAAACATTTCTACACCGCTTGTTAGGAATAAAATTAGAATGATCCATTTCCCACCTTGAAATTTGTGGGCAAGATCAATTTTTTGAAGCTTCCTACCTTTTATTCTTTCTCCAAATAATGTCACCAATTTCCCATGCTTCACAAACATTTTGCAGGTTGCCTTAGGTGGGCGCTATTCCCGAGAATTATTTAATAGATATGGAGATCTGAGACATATTCGACGATTAAAATTTTGGCCTCTGAATAAGGTGCTTAGGGAGAAATATGAGTTTTGTGAGCAAGATGCGGATGACATGGCGGATTTCCTGGTGCAGATACTCGATTTTGTGCCAGAGAAAAGGCCAACAGCAGCACAATGTCTTAATCACCCATGGATCAGTGCAGGCCCTAAGAGACTCACCCCTTCTATCTCTGCAATGGAAAACGGTTGTGTAGATAAGGAGGAAAAGGGGGAGAGGGAGGCTGTGGAGGTTGGAGTAGGAAACATTGCTATTGATGGAGCGCCAAAACCAGTTAAAGATTCTCTGCCCACTGTAAACCCTCCAAAGCAGTCATAGTCAATCTTGTGTTGTCTTCAAATGTGTTCGACCCTTTTCCTCTTCAAAAAATTCCGCCATTCTCACTTATTTCTGTTCCCCCCTTTACGTTCAAGGAATTTCCAATTCTTTAGTAAAGTGCTTAGGAGAATGGAGAACTGGAAGAATTTATGTCACTTCTTGTTCTCAATAGAATGCATTGATGTATCTCTGTACAATGTTTATCGTCTGTTCTTGGGGCATATGTTTCAGATTTTGCCGGTTATGATTTATTGAACCTCCAATTGTTTATTGGTGCTTTGTAACAGAACTTTATAGCAGTATAATTAGAGAAACTTGATGTTGCTTCCCAAAAGTATAATATGCCAAATCCTTAGCATAGTGACAGGTACGAGGACATTATTTTGGTGCTTTATTCTCGCACAATTTGAAGTTCTGCAAGACGAAAGGTTTACAGAACTTGTAACAGCATTGCAATCGATTTGAGTTTACTATAAAAATAAGCTGATCTTTAGCTGATTTCTCCCTCCATTTCTCCTAGTTTCATGTCCATGGTTCCTATAAAAAGGACACTGGTGCCTGTCACAAGTCACAGTAGCTTTGTTCTCTCGCGTTCATAGTATTATCCTT